GCCACCCCGTTACGGTCAGAGACCGCGCGACATCCAAAACTACCTCTCCCAGCAGCATGCACCACCGTCTGCCGGGCGCCAGTCGCGCTCGCCATCACCGAGGCGATTTTCATCAACGCCCCAGCGGTATTCTACCGCACGATCTCCCAGCCCCCGCCGGGAAAACTAGCCGAAGCGACCTCTGGGGGCGGGGTCGCTGAACGTCGAAGCGCTGAAGACCTCCTATTGACGCAGAACTGTACAGAAACTGGTCCGACATCACCTGCTGCTGCAAAGGATAGCCGGCTTTCACTCGACATAGCAGTAACAATTGATGGTTGTGTAGTTAATGCGTTAGTGGACACCGGCGCAGACTATTCCATACTGAGCGGGAAACTGACAACGCAGCTGAAGAAAGTGATCACACCATGGCATAACTCGCAGATTCGGACAGCTGGTGGCCATGTCGTTACTCCACTGGGTGCCTGCACAACTAGAATACAGATTCAAGGGTACACATTCGTAGCAAGCTGCCTTGTTCTACGTGAATGCTCCCGTGACGTCATTCTGGGAGTTGATTTTCTACAGGAAAATGGAGCTATCATTGATCTGCAAGAGCGCCGCGTCACGTTCTCAGCCCAGCGAGCAATCAACGTGCAGGATTACGGAATGCGTGTCGATGTACTCCGTATTTCTGAACAGAGCGTGACGCTTCCTCCCCGAGCCAGTGTTCTAGTCGACGTAACATGCTGTGGTTTGAGCGATGGCGATGTGGTGGCCGAGACAAATTTAGAACACCTCCTGCAGCAAGGCATATGTGTAGCGAGAAGTGTAATACACGTTCGTGACGGCCGATCTGAATTGCTCGTTACCAACTTTAGCAACGAGCATCGACACCTTTTCCGTGGCACTTCGATAGCGTTTGCCCACGAAGTAGCAAACGTAACCAACTGTCTCACGTCAGAAGTAGTGGATAACGCAGACACATCAATGAGCAACATTGACATCAATCCTGATCTGTCCACCGATAACCAGACTGCGCTGCGAGCGCTCTTGTTCGAGTACAGGTCTTGCTTCGCAAGTTGCTCGAAGATCCGCCAGACGTCCATCACTCAACACAGGATCATCACGTACGAGGACGCACGCCCAATACACCAGCACCCCTACCGCGTGTCGGCTAAAGAACGTGAAGCGATACGTACGCAAGTTCGCGAGATGCTTGACGATGGCGTTATCGAACCACCTAACAGCCCGTGGTCATCTCCAGTCGTGCTTGTCAAAAAGAAGGACGGGTCGCTACGCTTCTGCGTCGATTACCGAAAGCTTAACAACGTGACCAAAAAGGATGTGTACCCGCTACCGCGTATCGACGATTCGCTAGATAGACTTCGTCGTGCCCATTATTTCACTTCTCTCGATCTCAAAAGCGGGTACTCGCAAATCGAGGTAGATCAGCGAGACCGCGAAAAGACAGCCTTCGTGACTCCAGACGGCCTATACCAATTTCGAGTACTCCCTTTCGGCTTGTGTTCAGCGCCGGCGACTTTCCAGCGAATGATGGACACTGTCCTCACAGGGCTGAAGTGGCAGACTTGTCTTGTCTACCTTGACGATGTGGTGGTCTTCTCTGCCACGTTCGAGCAGCACCTTCAGCGCCTGCGCAGCGTGCTGGAGGCTATCCGATCGGCGGACCTCACACTAAAGCCACAGAAGTGCCACTTCGGCTATAAAGAACTAAAGTTTCTTGGACATGTAGTTAGCGCCGAAGGAATCCGTCCCGATCCGGACAAGCTTGCCGCTGTTGCCGAATTACCAGCTCCTGTCGATAAGAAAGCCGTCCGGCGCTTCCTTGGTTTGTGCGCCTACTATCGCCGATTCATTGATGGCTTTTCACAGATAGCAGAACCTCTGACTCGTCTCACAAGGGACGACACACCGTTTGTCTGGGAAAACGAGCAACAAGCAGCTTTGATGAGCTGCGACAGCGCATGCAATCAGCGCCCGTTCTCGCTCATTTCGACGATGATGCTGACACGGAGGTCCATACCGACGCTAGTAACATTGGGCTCGGTGCAGTGCTCGTTCAGCGTCAAGAAGACATCGAAAGAGTGATAGCCTATGCCAGCCGCTCTCTATCGCGTGCTGAGGCGAATTATTCCACTACGGAGAAAGAGTGCCTCGCAGTCGTGTGGGCAATCACCAAGTTCCGCCCGTACCTTTATGGTCGTCCCTTCAAGATAGTGACGGACCACCACGCCCTCTGCTGGTTGGCAAGCCTGCGCGACCCTTCAGGACGGCTAGCACGGTGGAGCTTGCGGCTGCAGGAATTTGACGTCACCATCGTCCATAAGTCCGGCCGTAAGCATGAAGACGCTGACACACTGTCACGCGCGCCCCTTCATGTCGGCAGTCAGGAAGCAGAGGAAGACGAAGGCTTCCTGGGCGCCATTAGCTCATCAGACTTGAGTAAACGGCAGCGGGATGACGCAGAGATTCGTCCAATCATCGATCATTTAGAGGGCCAGGACACAATCATACCACGTCATTTATTCCGCTCGTTGCCGTCGTTCTGCCTTCGAGATGGTGTGCTGTACAAGAAGAACGCTCGTTCGAACAACCGTGCCTACCTCCTGGTGGTTCCTCGAGACATGCGAGACGACGTCCTCTTCGCTTGCCATGACGAACCCACATCCGGTCATCTGGGCTACTCACGAACACTTGCCAGAGTGAGTGAGAGGTACTATTGGCCAGGACTTTCGGCAAGCGTCAAGAAGTACGTGAAGAGCTGTCGGGAAAGTCAGCGCTGAAAGCAACCATCTGTTAAGCCAGCTGGTTTGCTTCAGCCCATTGAAGCACCCTGCACGCCGTTCGACCAAGTCGGCATGGACATTCTCGGGCCTTTTCCTATGTCTGCGGACAGCAACAAATGGGTGATCGTCGCGACCGACTATTTGACACGCTACGCTGAAACCCAGGCGATCCCACGAGCCACGGCTTCTGAGGTAGCACAATTTTTCATGCGCCACATCGTGTTACGACACGGTGCTCCTTCCAGTGTAATAACGGACAGAGGGACGGCATTCACAGCGCAGCTTACGGACGAAGTTTTCAAACTGAGCAACACCAGACACCGAAGGACAACTGCGTACCACCCGCAAACCAAAGGACTTGCTGAACGACTGAATAAGACCCTCGCAGACATGATCTCAATGTACATCGACGTACAGCACAAAACATGGGACCGGATCTTGCCTTACGTGACCTTCGCGTATAATACCGCCGTGCAAGAGACCACGCGATTCACGCCATTTCGGCTTCTCTACGGCCGCGAAGTGCAGACCATGCTAGACTCAATGCTACCGTGTCAGGACGAAGACGAGTTGGCAACAGACGCCGAAGAATTCGCAGAGCGTGCCGAGGAAGCCCGGCAGCTCGCGCGACTGCACATCGGCCAGCAACAGCAGGCAGACGCACGACGCTATAATACCCGCCACAGAGAAGTGTTTTACAGCCCCGGAGATCAAGTTTGGGTGTGGACGCCCGTCCGCCGCCGTGGCCTTAGTGAAAAGTTGCTGAGCCGGTACTTTGGCCCATATAAAGTGTTACGCCGCGTCAGTGACGTGAACTACGAAGTGGTTCCGGACTCAACACCCCATGCACGGAGCAGGACACGGCTGAGGCCAGATGTCGTTCATGTGTTGCGCATGAAGCCATTTATTGCGCGTTGTTCGTAACTTTTCCTTTAACGTACAGCGTTCTTTGTGTTTTTTGTTTATTTTGTGAACTTACTTTCTCGTTCATTGACGTTTCCTATGTTGGCACGCTCTTCAATTTTTACTTTCACTTCATCCGAATTTTCATTTTTTTTCACGTGCCTATGTAGTAGCATCGCGGTGCTGCTATGTACTTTCCTTTCCTCTTTTTGGTACTTGTTGTTTTTTTTTCTTTTCGGAAGGGGGGATAATGCCGCCAGCACGTAGTGGGTTGGCAGCAAGAGCGGCTCTAAATCTGGAGGAAAAAAGAAGATTGCGTTCTTCTCTGCTCGAGAGCCAGCCACGACTGACGCATCGTCCTAGAGCTAGCTACCCGGTCGTTCAATAAATCCCCCAGTACTTGTGACTCATCGTGACAATATATATATATATAAGGGAAAGAAGTGTATAGTAAGGGCTCGTTTTTCCATGTTTTAACACAATATTAATGAGATCTAACAGACAGTAATGCAAAGGAATGTACAGGGGAAGTTATTAGAACCAATGGAATGTAAATAAGAACAAAGAAGAAAGAAAAGTGGATGAAAAAATAACCAGCCGTGAGCAGGAATCGAACCTACGACCTTCGAATAACGCGTTCGATGCTCTAACCACTGAGCTATTACAGCGGCCTTACCTCCATCCACTTTTTTGGGTTTATATGTGAATTTAGAAGTAGGAGTGACAGTCAGCGCCATCTATAAGCCAAACGACGAGTGTGAAAACACTCTTGTGCGCATGTTTGGCGTCACGTAGCATGTGAACTTATTATGAGCGGGCAGCTGATTAATTGTCCCTCTTATACAACCTAAACACACCAAGTCTGCCAGTACGAGACCCTCGTTCAATGAAATAAGGGAAAGAAAGGTATACCTAAGGGCTCGTTTTTCCGTGTTTTAACACAATATTAATGAGTTTAGGTTGTATAAGAGGGACAATTAATCAGCTGCCCGCTCATAATAAGTTCACGTGCTACGTGACGCCAAACATGCGCATCCCCTGATGAAGGGAGGACCCCTCCCGAAACTGTTGTGAAATAAATATATTTATCCTTGTTGACAACGCTCCCATTGTGCCATATCTCATACCTATATATATATATATATATATATGTCACGCTGATAACGCGCATGTCATTCGTGACCTGAATGTGCCAGGCGCCTGGCGATAGTGCAAAGAAAGAAAACGCAAGAAAGATGAGAGTTATTGTTGTGGGACAAAAAGACGCCCTTTTTACTCCTTTTTTTTTTTAGTGAAGTGTGGACTTACATTTATCTAGGAACAGGGAGACATTCTTGTCTCTGCGCAGGACCTCTCTGTTGCACTCGTCGTACAGAGCAAACAGGGCATCCAGCAGGCTGTCGCGGCTAGCCAGGTGACGGTTCGGCACTGAGCAGCTCGCCCGGCCCAAGACCAGGTGGTTCAACTTGTTCGAACGCAGTGCGATCGGTTCCCGGGCGGGAGATGACTTCCCGTTGCCGCCTCCAGCGTGAGCCATCTTGTCTTGTCGAACTGCGACACGCGTGAACTTTAATAACAGAACTTCTGTCAGGCCTATTTGGTGCATGTAGCTTCAAAAACGAAAACTTAAGCACAAATCAGGACGGACCACAGCGAAAAGACGAGAGGAGAACTGCACCAGCATTTCTTTCGTTAATTCTTTGTGGTCTGGGCTTGTTTGTGCTCAAGTTGTCACCTTGAAATGATACACTGGACATGCAACGAATGCGCCACCCACTTTTATGTCCCCACAACAAACAAAAAACACGTGCACTAACCGTGGAGTGTGACCTGCCAGTAATGTTTTGTATTGAAAGGTGTGATGGTGCCCGACGTCAAAAGCAACAGAAGGAGAGGCGGAACTTGCAGCATCCACATCAGCTAAGAGAGCATTCTTTGTGGCAGGAGAAACAAGACATGAGCTCCGCAGAGCCATGCATGCATGATGATGATGAGCGCAAAACAGTTTTGTCACGCATCTAGGTCCTAAAGGACGTATCCAGACACTTATGTATGTTGGTGCGTGTGCTTTTATGTGTGCAAGTGTATATATATGTGCCGACGCAGCAACTACACACAATGAAACATATGCCCTTCAGTAGAGAACAGCACTAAAGATACGTTTCCCCCCCCCCCTTTCGGCGTCTTTGATAATGCGGTGAGGTAGATATATGCGGACTGGACGAATAAAATACATTTCCTTGTTAGTCAGCGCAGTCCTTTGTGTCCTTCCTTCAACCAGTCCTTTTAGCACTTCTTCATTTTTTTTTTTGAGGTGAAGCTTCTCTTAGTTTGACTTAGTCCTGCGTCAGGCATAACCGGCAGGACATACAGACGGACGGACGCTTCGTCCCACTCATCATCACTCACTCCATGAATATGCTACGGTTTTTTTTCTACCGGAGATTATGAACCAATCGGCCCAAATGCATACCCTATTGCAGAAACATATGCATTCACTCGTCCATACCAAATGACTTAGGCCTCTGCATAAGGACTAGGTAACCAATGTAGAGCAATATTACGAAAAAAATATAAAAAAAATGGGACATACGAAGCTATGATCCAGCAAGCACCTGTAAAAAAACAAAAAAAAAACAATTAACTGGAAATAGTAGTGAGGGGGCACTGTGACGAACCTTCCCCCCAACCCCACAACAGAATGGGCACACTGCACACATCTATGATGGTGAGAAAAAAAAAAATCCCAGTATATCCATGGAGTGAATGATGATGACTAGGGCGAAGCGTCCATCCGTGCATGCGTCCAATCACGTTCGAGATCGCAGATGGCACACAGGTAACACCGACGAGACGTGAGCCACGGAAGCCGAGCACAAGCGTCAACACGCCCGCCGCTCTGCTTCGTCCATGCCCCACTAACGATCCACCACGTACGGCGACTATCCAGGAGACTGAAAGAGGCACTCGTTTTCCACGTACCCAGGCACAGCCCACGCAGCAGCCAATTGGAGAGTAGCAGTACAGCACCATCTAGAAAATCCTTATTCAACTGCAGTTTGTATGTACTTCTATGAGACAGCGCCGTCTATTATACTGTTCAGGAGATACTGCCTTCTTTTCTTTCTCGTCCCTTCTTCTCTCGGTTACGCGTGACAAGGTTAGAATATTAGGAGCTTCGCCCCTAAAGAAATGCATCATCGCAAGATTAAGTTTAGGTTCCAAAGCAGCATAAATGAATGTGCCGATTTTTCATAGATACGTATGTCCGAAATGCATGTGATGATGAAAAGTCAGTTCATTACCACCAAGCTAGGTTCTTTACACAAGCAGGTAATTGCAAGCTCCATATTTCTGTCACTTAGCTCACGTGCACATTGAATCTTCCTTGAAAACAGTTCGTTCACCAAGGAGTGATTAAGCACCGTTTCTCAGGATTGATGAAATGGTGCTTCATTACTCCTTTGAGAACTAACTCTAGTTCCTTAAATTTACCACCACTGCGATGACCTGGCCAAACAGAGCGGAGTGACATGCAAGCAGACACAAATGCTCCGACTATACACCTACAGTGAACCATAATACCGGCATGTCCTTTAACCGTACCCTGTAAATTTATGGAAAATCGCCATTGCATTTGCTCCTTCATACACGGGGTCTATTTTTGACAAGTTTTTTTTCATTGAATCTTCAGCTTTTAATATTTCGCTGTACTTTTTTGTAATAAGCTTGATTCCACTGAGCAGCAGAGCTAGTTGAGCTTTCGTCCTTTCTCAATAAGTGCTTCAAACATTTGTTTTCTGTCTTTTTCTATACAGCATTCATTGCAATGTCTGTGACAATAACTCTGATTTCGCTGTTTCGAACTTATTGAACTGCTCCACCAGAGAAGTACTACGTAATTTGAATATTTTAATACTAATAACTAATAAGGAGCAGCTGTCATCAAACTATATTTACAGTTCTATATTACATGAAAATATTTACACACTTAGCGGCAACAGCAACAGAAAACACAACACGAGACTATTACCTTACAAGAAAAAAAAAATCTCAAGCGCGAACCTTTTCTTTTTTTTTTTTTTTGATATTGAGAACCATGCAGAAGCCAGATCCCTCCATGACCACTACATCGACAGGTTGTAGTCGAAAGACGCACGTGTTTTACCGAACAGACTGATAACTCGAGCGAATAGTAGGCAGTGAGCTGAAGACGCACTGGCAACGCATGCAAAGGCACATTCTCAAGGAACCACGAAAAAAAGGCGCGCCTCTGCCACACACCGACACAAAATTGGGTATTTTCTCACACCTGATTGCTTTCGAAAAGTAAGGGCGCACACACGTACAGATCCAGCCTTAAAAAAAAAAAAACCAAGCAAATTTTCCTTCAATCACACGGCCCATTTGATTCAGGCTAACTAGCCCGAACTGGAGGTGAGCGTTTTGCGGATGGTGTTTGAATGCACCGATAATAAATATGAAGAATTAACGCAGACATACATGCTACGTTCCCGCAAACGAAAGTTGGAAGACAATACGCGTTTTCCTCATCTGATGTAGTATTTTTATGCGCAGAAGAGAGCGCTTCGCGCACCAGTAAACAGTTCGATCCGGTAAACCCACCGCCTCCGTCGTCGCCTCTTCACTTGCTATAAATGGCAGTCGAACTAAAGGAAATAAACCAAGATTCCGATGCGGTCGCTTTTCCGCCATCTACACGAACCTCCCGACGTATTTGCATACTATATTATTCACTGTAATTACGCCTGAAACATAGAACTATTCCCTAAGCGTCCGGTGCAGCGGCTTTCGGAAACAATTTCAAACCGAATGGCCATTCATATCGTAACGGTTCAGACAGCGATAACAAGCGGGTGTCGAGTAGTTCTCGACTCAGATAGTGACTAAAGCATTGGGATATGAACTTAAACTTACGTCGGCGACGGCCAGTAGCGGTTAATCCATTAAAAAGAGCGGTTTCTTCGAAGTTACCGCGAGCTTTGCATTCAACAGCATTTAAAGACCTCAAAAGCAAAAAAACGACGCCGCCAGCATCAATGTTGTCCGGAGAATCAGTTGAGTTAGGCTAAGCTTGTCCTAAGTTTTCAAAATCTAAACAATTGAGCTTCAGCTTTGCTAACTCAAAAGTAATATTGAAATAAATTCATTTATTTAAAAAGTTTTTCAAATATTTTGACTTCATTTTCTTTTATAAAACACAAAACGGTCTAAAAATTGAACTTTTACAAATCTTGAGGCTATTGTTTTGCTTCATGCATACGGTGAAAGTGAGAATGACAGTCAACGTACGTGGTAGGAAAACCTTCCACATTTCGAGCATTGCGTGCATGACTTACCATTACCTCACAAATTTTCATCTTTTTTGCTTAGTCGAACCTTAGAGTGCCTAAAATATTGCAGGCACCATAGTGCATAAAAACGTAGCTTTTGAGACTTGTGACAGTTTTTCAAGATAAATCGCCGCTCGAGGCGCTACTACTCAACAAACTCTTATGATTGGTCAGCCAACACGTGACGACAAAATGACGTTGCCGCCACTATGACGTATCTGCACACCTGGCGAGAGAGGAGGACACCGGCGGAACGCGAGACAGCGCGCGCGCGAATTTTGTTTTTACCTTTTCGTAATTTTCCGGGCGGCTGGTCGACCTACCCTCTCTCGTCGAGCCACCGGCGTCAGGTAGCGAGGCGAAGCGCCGTTGCGGGAGTGAAGCAAGCAAGCGGCAAAGCAGTCGCGTTCGAGCGCGGCATCACTCGGGACGTCCGATGCGAGGCGCGCGACATGGCTCCGTGATTCCCGCGTCTGCCCTGTTCGGGCGTTTCAAAGTGCACGGATCCACCTCTTGCTAGATGAGACACGATACAGCGGCGGCAACCGCATCGCTATTGAAAATGCGCCGGCAGATGGCAACGGCATTCCTTCAGAGACACCGCGGTTGATTGAGCTTGTGTGCGTGTGTTGACAGTTCCATCGCCCTCCCCGATGGATACCAATCGGCGGTTCGCGTCCCAACCACCGGTGTCATTCGCCTGAGCGATTCGGTGCTTGACATTTGGCCGCCTGCTACGCTGGCTGGATTTCCGGAACGTCGTCTCGTCGTGCGAGTGTTGTCGATTTGAGTGTGCGACTCCGGCTTTTTTTTTCCCTGTTTCGTGTGGTTTGTTCGTTGGCGACGCGTTCTCAATTCTGATGCGTGAGTACTGTGATGTGTGCGTGCCGGCTGGAAGGGATGCAGCCGACGACCGGCGCTAGTCACACTCCCATGCTGGGTGAACTCGAGGATTACCTGCACGAGATCCGGGGCCGCGATGTGGCGCCCGAAGACGACGACTCCGAGCCCGGAGACGTGTACTCTCAGCTGGCGCAGAAGGAGAAGGACCTTCTGCTGGCAGCCGAGATCGGCAAGGAGCTGCTCGAGCGGAACTCGGACCTCAGCCGGCAGAATGAAAGGCTCACCGAGGAGTACTCGAGGAAACTCGAGGTGAGCACTGCATGCTCGAAAATCGTAACGCGCGGCTCGCATCGCCAATGCTTCGGGTGTGCTCGCTGGACATCTGAACACGTGGGTTCTGTCTCGCTGCGTGTTTGGGGGATAGATCGCAGCGATTTACACGTACGGTCCACAGTTTAAAGGAACGCTCGAATGAGCACCTTTTATGCTGATTCCCTCCCAACCATCATCGGATGTGTGAACGTTCTTCCCGATTTGCATTACGCTACTACTAGTGCCGAAACCTACTACTAGTGTTGTGCAAATCTCAGCCACTATTGCAGGGTATAGCATGCCAGTCCTCTAAGACTGGTTAACATCCCCGCCTTTCTTTCCTTTCTTAAGCCACTACGGTTTTTTCAAAAAAGTGAAATCTAGACATACCCGGCACACAAGTGTTTCCTTTAAGAGAGAAGCCGCCTGTACTTGAGCCGTACAACGACACAACCGTACAATGGTCCCGAATGAGACGAAATCGTTTCGCTTTGCACACTTTCAAGATTCGTCTTTCAACCGACTAGCTATCGAGATCCAACGCTTTTCGATGTGTTATCGGACGGCTACCAGTTCAGCCAACCACAAAATTAAGATTTTGGTCAATAATTATGACAGTCGCGTAGCGTTTAGGTATGAGCTATCGTTTAAAAAAATGCACAATTGTACGTGTCCTGACGCATCGCGATAAATGAATTCGTTTACTTGGTGTCAATGCAACGGTAGCACTAATTCTCGCTACTCAGTTTCACAGTTAGCGTTAATTGTAGTTAATGCCCAACGAATTAACTCCCAGCTTCGCACTTTCAAGGGGGAGAAAACCGCGGCACGTTTTGAGGACATGTACTGCGACAGTATACAATTCACTTCGTTAAAAAACAATAAAGAGAGCGTAGCGGTTTGGCTGACAGCTCTGTACAAGTACTTTCCTCGGCGTTGCTTTTTCGTCAGTGCCCACTGTTAGTATTATTTATTTATTTATTTTTACGCTGTCTGGCGAGTTGAACGTTTCACTGCTCGCTCCTCACGCGCGCTCATTTCGTTACTGACTTCGAGGTTAAAACTGAGCCCGCTAGAAAAAAAAAAAAAAGAAACAGGCATTTCGAGGCTTTCACCACCGAAAACCGCTCGCCAAAACAAGCAAAAAAACGTGAAGAGCACTCCAGTTTCTAAACAAAAAAAAAAAAAAATCGCGATGGAATTTTTTTTATTGTTTTAAACCGTGCTTCTTCGCCGTCTCCGACGGACGAGCCTGTGGCACATGTTCAGCCGTGATGTGAGTCACAGCGTCGGGGGCGATTACACTTATCGCAGCTGATCCGCAGTACAACTACACCCGTCTGGGAATCCGAACACCTGTCGCTGCGGGTCCTCGCTTCAGTGAGTGTTGTAACCCTGCCGATTTGCAGTACGTTGATGTGTGAGTACGTTCCGAGCACGTACAGTCGCGAGCAGTATGAAAGGAAACCATCCCTGTTACCTTCGTGTATGCTGACTGAACGCAGCTGTCGAGCACGGAATGTGTTCATAAAACGAAACACTCGCGCGTAGAAGCGCATCCTGTTAAAAAGCCTCGGCGTGCGAACACGGGCACAAACGTTGTGGCACGTGTTCTCACACGCCCAGTCTTTTATCACGAATACCAACCAACTACGGTTCAGCTATTTCGTGGAAACGTATCTCTTTGCACATCGACACCACAGGATTCGCTCGTGCATATAACCGTTATTTTTTTTTTTTGTGTGTGAACGCGAACTCACCGTGCCCTTTCAATAACAATATTGATATGTGTATGGAACTGTCGTCTTCTTCATTTTGGTGCCAATTCAGCTGTGCCGGGGCGACAGTTCCATACACGTATCAATATTCTTCACGAATGTACATACTATTCTGCCAAAGAACTGGGTGGGTCCTAGTTAAAAAAAATAGCATAATGAGATTAACCTCGCCTCCTGCCTCCGATCAGTTAGACCGCATCCAAAACACGATAAACATGACGTATTAACGTCACGTCTGACATTCCGCTACCGTATAGAAATTTTAGACTCAACGCCTGGATGTGAAAAAGTCGTCGGGTGTAAGGCACTCGCGTGTGTTCGAGGCGGATGGTTGATCAGCGCACAGTCGTGGCATTCGAAGGGTTCGATTACCAGATGCGGCGACCACGTTATTGTACGGTAAGAGGGCATTCCCTTTCCTTCTTTCCAAGCTATACATCTGCACCTGTCGCAGCAGCCCCCCTCCCTCCACCCATGTTGCTATACAACGCGGGTTGGCACTCCCCTCCAAGAACCCTGCGGAAGCCCAAAAGTGGAACCACTGGTGTACCGAAAACTGGACGCATAGGAACGTCAGGTGAAATTGTGGCTCTTTAACGAAGCATTAATATCCTTAACGTAATTCAATGTGAACGTGGATCACTACGTCGTCAATATATGAGTGAAAACACCGCACACGCTAACAAAAAAAAATAAAAAGAACGTCATTGTTCCATTTTGAGCGCGCGCAAAAAAGACCCGCTCTGTTTTTATTCAAGGGGGCGATTGGTCGCCATGGCAACGTAACAGAGCAGTACCGAAGCGCGACACGTGCCCGCAAACAGATCGTTAACCTTGATGGACGTTTCCAGAACGGCATATCGGCTCTACGTGCAGCCATGCAATTCGCCGCGTTATCGACAATGGCAACGACTGATCCGAGCATTCCACAAATTAGCCGCTTCCGTTTGTGCAGCACGTATAGTGTTAAAGCGCGATACGGCGCCCGATTCGTTTCGGTTGCACTGTGGTGGCAGTGCGCACAAAATATCGGGATTTCCGAAGTAGAGGGACTGCGACAAACTCTTCTCCCCGTGTACGACGGGAGTTTCGACTAACTGCACGTCGTTCATAACACCCTCACGACCAACCACCCTGCAGCGGCGCTCTTGCCATAGCGCGCACCTCAAGACCGGTCGTACTTTGAGGAGGAAGTAAGGGTGGGAAGGGGCTATCCACATTTGAAGTGGGGGGGGGGGGGCATTTTGAGAAGCTGGTCATCACTTCGTTTTCCGACTTTTCGAACGGGAATCCCTGCACACGTCCTTCAGTATAGAGTGACTTGTTGGCCGAGTTGTTGGTTCATTCTTACGGTATAGCTTTAACGCTATATGTATAAAGACGAGAGACGGACAAGCGCACACGTCCTTGCTGCTATTATTACCCGAACCAATTATGAGCCAGATGTATGCGCTGTCACTCACCGGCAGTGCTTGTTATAATATGCCAGAGCGGGTGAATGCCACAGCTCGTGTTATAATTTAAGTGTTATGTAGTCAATTAACGACATAAAGCATGCAGCATGCAGGCATCTATTTCGTGCTTCGCGGCATACATTACACGAGACTGCTCAACGATAGCGGAATGGTGATAACTTGGCTTTTGGTTGATAAGCAATCCGGAAGGACCAACGCGGCAATGGCTTCGCCTGCTTTCGCGTTTGTCTCGCTGTTCACGTATACCGGTTATTGTGATTGTTTCTTAACTACTTCCGCATTTTTGTCTTTGCTGAGCCACGCGTCGAATTACATTAGTGCCAGAGACGGTGAGTTGGCGCTTCTACATACGTACTATTTATCGTATCAACGAAGAGCCGGAAAATTAACTATTGGAAAACGAAAGAAAAGCGCTCAGACAGCGCAAGTGCGCTTGAGTCGCTGTTGCAGAATCCTTTCTCGAGTTACCGCTACAGCCTTCGGCACCTTGTAGTACACACAGGACCATGCGATACGTGTAGCCCGATGTATACGCACAAGTTGCTCGTTGTGCGTTGTTGCCATATTGAACTAAGACCGGCCATCACAACCCACGGATACTGACAAACTGCTTCCTCAGTTCCTCTCCGTGGCTCTGCCGTTAATTAGGCGGCCGTTCATTTGGGTTATGGCTCTCAAAAAACATTGATCGTCGACCTCCGCTACGTCCCCGTTCTTCTTCTTCTTCCCCTGAGTCTTCGCCTTATTGGCGGCTGTGGTCGCGAGACGACGGTATGATGAATCGTCGCAGCTAAATTTAATTAGCCGTTCTCCCGCGCACCAGCACAGCGAGTGCTCCTCGGATGTGGTAAGCATTAATCGCTCGTGTGTACACAGCCTGTAAGCGGAAAATCGATCCTTAATTAATCCATTTAACGTATTAATAAAGGATCAGGTTCATTAAGGTTCGTGACATGACATAATATGCAAGTGTGCCTGCTTTCATACAGGCGATGGACGCCATAAGCTACAGCGTTGTCTCACTGCTGGTATATAATAATAATATTTGCCAGCTGATACGATCACGAGATGGCGTCAGTGTTCTTCATTAACCGTCTGGCTAATCTAATCATGCCGTTCTTCCCCAATACGTTTGTGTGTTCACATTCCGGACATCATCGTTCCTTCGATATCCTACTATCTTGTCTATACATTATAGGGCACTGATAACCTGCTGTGTATATCAGATGTCAGTTCATGATTGTTTCCAGTAATACGTCGCATTAGTAAGTATACGTGTGCTTTTGTGCGTTGTATATATATACCATGCGGGACTGAGTTGGAATCCTATAGTTGTGTGTGATACACTTATGCGAGTACAAGCCAATGCCACCTTCCTTGCACACGGCATGGACAGTCGGCGATCCCTGGGACGCTAGAAGAAGCTTTCGTTTTCAGAGGATAAATATTATCGTGAGGATGATGATGACACACAAGGGTCATTTCAGTCGTTGGGAACGAAGCCACAGAAGACCAGCGGGGCTTTTAAAGAGAGGGAAAACGTGGGCACAACTTGGGCTAACTATAGGTTTTAGGACAAGCCCTAGCTCGATTGCGGCAGCGGATGTTCTTTTTTTTTTTTTGAAAAAGAAAGTTTATTCCGGTCACGGTGTCTCTCATAATCATTTGGTGGTTTTGGGACGTTAAACCTCACATATCAATCATTATCAACTCCTGAACGTCTGTATATGTGCACCTTTTGAGT